TAACCTGCTTGTTCCTTTGGCTGCGCTTCATCTAGTTGTCTTGTTAGCCTTTCGGTCAATATTTTGGTGTAAATCTTGTACAAATTAGAAAGTAGGCAGATGGGTCTGTAATTCTTGATGTCTTTCCTATATATAGTGTATAAAAACAATGAACCAAACACCACCAAGAAGCAACTACAGGCCTGATGTAGAATTATAATAATAATAATAATAAAGGTTTATTGTGTTCTTTGCAATATATAAGACATATATTGAATATTGAAAGTATAAAGATGTAGTATTAAAATAGAGCTTTAAGATTCTAAATTCTAATTTAAATTATAAAAACAATAATAATGAGGTTAAAAATGGTGATTCGTTATTTTTTTAAAAGCTAAAAGTTCATGGATAGACCTTGATCATTGACACGTATATAAACAGTATGGAATAAACGTGTTTCTATATATTTTTGTCCGACATTTTGGTAAAACATATCTATAAACATTCCCGAGGTCCTTTTCTATGACACGAGTGTTAGGTAAAAGATGGTTTAATTTATGGGTACATAGTTTTATCTCATTAAATAATTTTTTTGCACAAGTCATTACGCCGAGATTTCAAGGTAGGTAATTCAGTGATGTCCATTGCTTCGTTGTAAGTGAGTTCAGGGTATAAAATATGAAGAGCTCTTTTTTTGGATGTTCTCTAAGGCTTTAGATTGCTGTGCGGTAATTCCAGCATGCCATAGCTGACAAGCATACTCAAGTGTTGGTCTGAAATTGCTTTTATAAATTTGTAAGAGGTCATATCTCGGCACCCCAGCGTGTTTGACCATACATAAGAAATACAGTCTGGATGCAGCTTTAGAGAGAATTTTTTTCTATATGCAAGTCCCATTTCAAATTAAAACTGATATGAACTCCCAGCAGTTTGGCATGTAAAACTTGTTCGATTTTTATACCATCAATTATTGGGTTATCAGGTACAGTTGGGTTTTTACTGAAACAGATAAACAGTTCAACAGTTTTTTTTAGGATTATTTTATTTTGTCCATTCATATAGGTTTGAGGCTGCTATGGGAAGTTCAGATTGTGTAGGTTTGGCACCTTGTTCTATTTCCCTTGGAGATGGTTGGTGAACTGTCTCATAAACTGTAGTGTCATCCACATACTTTACTGCTGGTAAAAAACATTCCATGTCATTTATCATTGTAATGAAAAGGAGAGGTCCTAATTTTGTACCCTGGGGCACGCCACCATGAATATGGCACCATTGTGACATTACTGAACCACACTTGACCCGTTGTTGTCTATTAAGTAAAAAGAATTCCCTTTGCCTTTCTTTTTCACAAAGACTATGAAAAAGCAGAAACAAAGCATTCGGTAGCACCGTGACCTTCCTCAATGTCTATTATTGTGAGACTGAACACTACTCACCAATGTGTCAGTAATAGTGTCAGTCCAAGCTTCGCTTATTGAATGTTTTTTTAGACATTTTTTGGTGTCAAACACTTCAAATATCAGTATTTGTAATTATGATATTCCTGTAAATAAAAACAACCTCTTGATTAGCGTCATGGTGAAAAAAATACATTTTGTGTAATTGTGTTATGATGTCTTCACTTTATGCGGCAGTCGAATTTTAGTAGAGTTTGAGGTTAAATTGCGTTGCGTTTGCTAAGGCTTCGAGATAGCAGGTGGGTGCAATCGCACTCGCAAATAGCCCGGAATCGCCATGCTCGCGCCCGTGCGCAACATAGCGAAGCTTTCGAGATACGGGGCCCTGATCCCTCATTTAACTTTGCTTTAATCTTAACGACCTGAAGTACACTTAGATAGCCTTGTGGTCCCACTTTATGGTACATACAGCGTGAAGTGCCCGTTAACGACCAGGTGAGTAACTATAATTTGGATCTTGTTTAAGTCATAAAGTAGAATGGTGTACGCACATGAAGTTACAGCATGTGACGCTGCGCTGTTAGTAACCTTGAAGGAGGGAGTTGGCTACAATGTGCTTATCTCAAGAGGCTGATAAAGATTGGGCGTCGTAAAATGTTATTGAAGTTATCATTTTGTCATTAAAAACTTCAATCTGCCTCCAGATAGTCGGATAAATAAATGCTCACTAGCCAGTTTTCAGACTGTTAATTTAACTTGCACAGCGGCTATTTTCAGATTACTTAATTTTTTCATGAATTGGTTAATCATGGTTACACCAAAATGAAATACTCTTGCATTATTTGGTAATATTAGATTGTACTAATATCAAAATTCCAAAACAATATGAGTTTCATCCCAACCCCTTTACATGGTGCACTCTAAGTTCGATGTACGGCTACGACAATGCATTGACAGAAAGATATGGGTTAGTACAAGTACCGCATGAAAAATTGCACGTTTTCTCCTATAGGATAAAGAGGCCTATTAATAATGAATTACTCTAGATAGGTTTGAATATGATATCCTTGAAGCATTTGGTTTTGCATGGAATTTCAAAATGTCTTTCTTTTCAACCAATTTCTAATTCTGAAGTTTTTCCCACTATACACAGTGTATAAGAGCAAGAGAGACTGGATTGTGAAGAGAGAGAGAGAGAGAGAGAGAGAGAGAGAGAGAGAGAGAGAGTATTA